TGAGAACTGGCGACTTGGTAGTACAACTTTAGTACGCGGAGTATCTGGGGAGTGGGAAGATGAGAACTGGTGACTTGGTAGTACAATGACTTGGTAGTACAACATTAGTACGCGGAGTATCCGGGGAGCTGGAAGATGAGAACTGGCGACTTGGTAGTACAACTTGAGTCTGGGGAGCTGGAAGATGAGAACTGGCGACTTGGTAGTAGAACTTTAGTACACGGAGCAATCTGTGGAGCTGGAAGATGAGAACTGGCGACTTTGTAGTACAACTTTACTACGCGGAGGTGACTTTCGAGAGGTGAAGAACTTGCAGAAAACAGGTGTTCCTGCGCTTCAGAAAGACATACAGAGAGAGACACATACACACACAGACATAGATACACACACACAGAGACCCACACACTGCCTCAACACACTCGACTTAACACTTCACACTGAACACTTATAACACACTTAACAGATAACTCGCACTCTGACTTCCTACGTGATGAAAAATGCTTTCGGGCCACTCGTCGTCTAGTTTAGTGGTCATGTGGGTGATTTCTAGTCAGCCTTCTCTTTGGGATGCCCAATTTGCACATATGGTTTGGTCAAACTGATGGAAAACCGAAACAAATCCACAGCTCCCCGAACGACCTTGTTTGTTGGGAGACCTGTGGTCCAAACTCTCGCAGCAAATCAGACCAGATCTTATACAAAATGGTCACAATCCGTCAACATGCATCCGAAAACGAAGGATCGACTACGTCCGGTGCATGGAAAAAAAAGGAAAGAAAGCTGTGACCTTACCGTGACCCAAGCCACTTCACTCCAAGCGACTTCACTCCAAGCTGCTTCCTTCACCACCCACCTGCCCAGTTCCTCCGCTCTCCTCAGCTCCGGCGCCGGCGCTGCGTGCAGCGCCACACAGCGGAGCGACGCGCAGCGCCGCGCGGCCCCGCGCAGCGACCCCAGCGGCGCCGAGCGGTCGAGGCCGAAGTGCCAGCGGGACTCGGTGAGGAAGGCTGAAGAGTTCCAGGTTGAAAGAAAGTCCTGGAACTCAGAATTGAATGGATTTGAAGTGGAATTCGAATCGAACTGCGAACTGTGGCCGTTCGGCAGGGTGATGACTGAGTGAAAGGTTTTGGAGTTCCCAAGTCTTATCAGAGTGAACTCGAGGTGTTCAGGATTTTGTGTTTAAAAAGATGGCCTCCAAAATACAAGGTCTCCAAAATACAAGGTCCGCTCGTGTCGGAGGGAGCAAAGGAATGGGGCTGACGATGGGTGCACGAAAAGTTGGATGTGGGAGGTGGCGTGGCAGGACCCTGAAAGTCTACCCCCCCCAGCAGACGATCCCATTTCGAAAGTCTACGCCCGGGTCCCAAACCAAAAACTGCTAGGAACCAACGCAAGGCATCTACAAACGCAATTGCTTTGCAAATGAGTGTCTTCCACAGTCTGGGCCCTTTAGTAAGGCCCCTTACATCCTATCCAATCTACAGAGACGGTGAAAGATCAATTGACTCAGCCCTGATGATCGAGCATCACTCTACAGCAGTTCGGAGCACTCCTGAAGCTCCTTCAGTGCCTCCTTATTCTGCTGGCCTTGTGGGTTTGTCCCTGGAGGCATTGCAGACAACAACCAGCAAGGGGCCAGCGCCAGCCATGCTCCAGAGAAGAGGCTGGGAAAGGCAAGCACTGCCCCTTTTCGGCCCATGTGTCTTCATCGCTTGATGCTGAACTGCTAGTGGCTGTCGCACCCACCGCAAACTTCATGAAAACGGAAAAGGATATGCCTTGTACAACGGGACTCCTACTGTTGGCTTGAAGTGGTGTTTGCTAGGGTGGAAATCTGATCCTTCCTTTGTTGGATCCATAAAGATGAGCCGGGCAATGGGTAGACTCTACAACCCCAAATAGTTTTTCCCAAAAGAAGAACCACACTTTCGGATGCCAGAGTCTTGTTCTGCAGGTGAGTCTTGGAGAACTTGCATTCGTCCCATTGTCACTGTCAGGTAGAGGGCAAATGGACAACTGAAAAGCCAATAATGTCCATACTATGCATAGGAAGTATTGAAGTAATTGTGTTTGCAAGGCTTTCCCATGTCCGTCTTCTACTTTCACAGTCATCGCCACGTACCCCTCAACCGATGTCCGTCTTCATAGCTGTTCATGCAACCTCGGCGCTCGGCCACCTCTTTGGCTGCCTGGAGGCCTGACAGATATGCGCCATGCACCGTGGAGGGAAAATCATTCCGGCAGTGCTCTCCCGCAAAGAAGACCTCGAGGCCGACGGGCGCGTCTCGTGGCGGGACGCGCGAGCAGGACGGAGCATCTCGCGAGCAGTCGAGTCGAAGAAGGGGCACAGTGGAGTCGAAGTACGTCGGTGATCGGAAATTCGATGATGTGGGGACCAACGGCATCGTTTCCTTCGGAGCTGCACTGCCCTTCCGCGCTCGAGCTGCGCTCCGGCCGTTTCGTGGGCCATTGACCGACCTTCCGAACCCTTGGTGGGAAGGATGGCTCACGTGGCTCTGACCTACGTTTTCTGCTTGGAAAGTCCATGTCTTGCTCATGCCTTCAATGTTTCTCTTGCAGAGAGGGAAGGCCACCTGTTTGAAGGCTGAAAAAGGCAAACTTTAGTCAGCCCAAAACATGAAGCTGTCTGAACCTGCTGTCTCTTTCATCACTTGACCACCAATTACCAAACGCATCCAAAAGCAACTCGAAACCACGCTGCCGCCCTCCGTGCATTACCTGCCGTGTCACTCCTGCCCCCCCTTCGTTCGCCTAGTCACCCGTGGCCCATGCGGTTCCTGAAGCCTTTGCCGGTGCAGGGGCTTTACCCCACAGGGCAAGAACGAGTAGCTGCCACAGGCAAAGTCGTCCCCCTGGCACGAATCGGCACGAATCAGAAGGATCCACGAGGATGATGGCAGGGGGAGTGGATCAACGAAGTTTGGTCACACCAACTCTCCTTAGCTTGGAAAATCAGCGCCAACATCATACATATTGTTACTTATTGTATCGAAATATATATATGCATATATATATATATATCATATCCTACGTATCATCCGTGCAGGAATGCGCCTTGTGATTCCAATGGCAGACCCGAGGTCACTTTGGGACGCACATGACTGTACTGCATGTTTATACATTTAATTTCATTTAATATTATTTTGTAATTTCTGCCACCGTCACGCAACCCCTCTTGTGTGAGCGTCGAGCGCCAAACAAGTCACTTTCCCATAGCATCCTGTCACGTCTGTAATCACGAGTGCAATCACGAGTACTACTGTCGCCTGCGTGCAGGCCATATACTTGATGATCCACTCAGGCAAGGGAGCTGTCCTCCCCTTCTGTTATCATCTCTCGAAGATCGTCCCAGGCGAAATCTGGATAGATTTGCATCATGAAAGGTACCAGGTAACCTTGATGGACTGTGCCACTGGACCCCTGCACCCTGGCAGGCTTTAACAAACTGTCAGGGCCAAGGATGTGTGCTTCATTCTGGGCGCCACACCTGCATGTGATCTTCGGTTGTCTCTGTCTCTAAGCAGGCTCCTGTTCTCTCGTTTGACTTTCTACAAATTGCACCAGCTGCTGTAGCCGCCCCCGCCTAAGTTCTGTTTCTGCCCTCCGGCGTTCCAGCTGCAGACTTGAATGTGCATCTCGTCGGGCATGTTACATCCTCAGTTTCCTCTTGTAAAGTCCTATTCATCTCTTCATCCAAACAAGTCCAAACCTGAAGTCGCTCTCATCACACTCAGCGCTACTGCTGTTGTCCAAGATTCGGCTTTATCAAACCTCTCCGATTGCTTGACAGCCTCCTTCGCCCCACATGCACTCGTTGGCCTTCTGCAAGTGGTCCTAAATCACCCCATCTTGCGAAGTCCACATGCTCGTTCAACCTTCATGACCTTCCTGATTCATGTGGCACTTCAAGCTTGATTGGAAATTGAATTTCTTTGATCACGTGCGGGTTTGGATCAGCTTGGCTCGCGGATCACTGCCAAGCATTGCATGACGCACCGACTCTTCTAGCATTCCTCTAGATTTCCCGGAGGCTCTTTTATTGGTGATGTGCCGTCCGCGACACTTGGAGACTGAGAGACGCTTGCATGACACTCCTTCTGGGACACTCTCATGTAGCGCTCTTGCGTCAGTATTGTGGCGGGCTCTTGCGTGACATTGTTGCTTGACACTCTTGTGCGTGACTTCCTCCAAAGTGAGGTGCGAAGTCTCAAAATCAAGCGTTTTGCTTGGGACTCCTCCAAAAAGTGAAGCAGGAAGTCTTCGACACGAACATTTCGTGCAAGGCTTCCAAAAGTGACGCCGTTTCGTACGAGGCTATATATCTCCAAACAAAGGCGGCAAGTCTCCAAAACGAGCGTTTCATTGGAGGCTTCCAGGCAAAAAGTGATACGGGAAGTCTCAAGCATTCGCATCGAGATTTCTCCAAATGCCAAGCATGGTCAACCAGGGGATGAACTGAGATCCTATGTTTGGCGCAGCAATTCGGAGCCCGATCAGTTCGACTGAGAACCCCCGAGTAGCTCGATGAAAATCTCGCCTGCCAGCCGCTTCGCTTCACATCCACCAACGAAGCCTCACGCGTCACGCGGAGGGGACGTGCGCGGCGACGGCTGGAGCGCCGGAGGGCTCTGGAGACCAGGTTCGTTTCAAAATGGTCCTGGGCAGGGTGAAGTTCTAGGGCATGTCAAACGTTCACATACGGCCATGGCGGATGGACGTTGGAGGCCCGGCAACTACGAGGTTAGGCTGTGACTTTGACCCAAGATTTGGAAGTGTGATAGGAATGCATAGACTAGGGCTTCTACATGACTGAGCTCATTGGTTCGGGAACCTGCTTTGAGACTCGGGCGCGGTGGTCAAAATAAGAGAGCCCCCCAGCCACAGAGGTGTTTTCTTTCTCATCCCCAGAACAACAATCATTACAGTGGTTTCACAGTCGATGGCACTGGCACCCCAAGATGTCTTTTAGATGGGTGTCCATATAAACCAGCTTTTGATTATTCTGCCATCTACTCTGAAATCACTGTAACTTGAACATGGAAAAATTAAACCTTCAAAGTTCCATATTCCTCTACTTACAAATGGATTGCAGCAGCTCGTTTGGGCCAGGTGGTTTGGACTTGTTCGACCTTCTCAAGCAGTACAGTAAGTGCAAAGACCTTCAGTTTTTCAAGCGCCTCAAGCTCTGGCAGTGCTTGGTCGAAGGTTTCGGAGAGGATCCTGGCGATGAAATCTGATGTAGACATGAAGGCAGGTCGTGGATCTGATCTGGGTCCCAGCTCAAGCCCAACAAAAAACTGGAGGTTCAGACTTCAGAGCTTTCAAGCAAAGCAATTGTGGTCGTGTTCCTGTCACAGATCATCATGGACCAATTGGGTAGAGTCCGCGCTCTCTTCAGGGTGATTTCCGTCTATCCCAGGAGTCGTGTCACATGTCAGTAGACGAGTGATCTGCACAAAAGGGAACATCATCCATCTACTCATGATACTCATGCAGTCCCAGAAGGTTCGCCCACCGCTTTGCCAAGGTTCATAGATTCAAGAAACACAGCGAAGCAAAGGAACATGATGCAAATACCATGGTTCTTCGAAACGGCACACATCATGTCCCCTTTTCACCAAAAAATAATAAACCACGCCTTCAACGGCTTTTTTGACGCCGTGTGACAAAGAAGAGAAGGGCGTCAAAAAAAAAACCACGCACCGAAACAAACCAACTTGAATTTCCGATTCGTGTCAGGTCCTTCACACCCCATCCCGGTTGGACCCGCCTCAAGAGCCGGTCTGTGAGCTCCTTGTCGCTCAGCTCCTCCATCTGCCTGGCGAAGCGACCGGTGGGGTGGCTAGAGTCGGTGGATGAGGATGGAATTTGCTTTAAAAGGGTTCATATCGGATATCTATATGTATATATATATATATTTAGTATATGATATAGTCAGTTTAGTTATATATTGTTTTGTGCGAGTAGGATCTGAGATCAGAACATTGACATGAAATGGTCTTTGCTGGTCCAAGTCCAAGTTGCTGCTTTCCAGCGGTTTTCGACCGCCCTCCTGCTGTGCGCTCTGCAACGCGTCCGTTCGCTCCGTTGGGGGGGTGGTCCACGCTTCGGAGCGCTCGTTGGTGCGCGCTTCCTGTGTTGGTTGGTGCATGTGAAGCAGAGAACCAATGCCATGTGAAAGCACAGCTAGAACATGCTAGAACCACAGATGCAGACTGAAAAACCTTGTATAGTGCTGGCAACAGCTTTCTTCACCGATCCAAAAAGAATCCGTCCAAGAAACGTCGATGCGACTGGCGGTCGCATCGATGTGAGGTGTGAAGAAGGTAGTGGACTCGGCAAATCCATCTACTCATCTACTCATCTACTTCTGCTGCTACTACTACTACTACTCCTCCTACTCCTACTCCTACTACTACTCCTACTCCTACTCCTACTACTACTCCTCCTACTCCTACTCCTACTCCTACTCCTACTACTACTACTACTACTACTACTACTACTACTACTACTACTAGTCATCAGGATGAGTAGATCTACTGAGTGGGATCTAGAGGATCCATAGATCATCATCACATAGGGGATCTACTCATCTACTCATCTTTCCCTTGGAGGGCTTGTTTCAGGATCGACTCATCGTCTCTCTCCAGAATCAACGAGGAAGCGGTTGTTTCAACTAACTCTCCTCGCTACAAACTTGAGTGGAGGGTAATCCCACTTCCTCGTGAATTCTGGGGAGTGTATATAGTTGAGTACTTGGGGTCTCTGACAGGATCGTTCTCTACTCTCCAACCCGATGAATACTCCGCTGCCTTGCTGTCTCCCAGCAAAAAAAGGCGATGGCCACTGGTGCACCAGCCTCAGGCGGTGTGGGTGGAGAAAAGGAGGCTCCAGCTATTCTGCCAACATGTTTGAGTAGTTCTTGCTTGACCTTCAAACAAACAACTTGCATACTTTGCATCCACTACCAGTTTGCTTTGGAACTGTTCATGTTGGGCAGCACGGGGGTCCAATTCTTGACCACAGGACATGAACAAGTGAGCCGATGTTCATCCCGATCTCCAGACTCTCCCAGCGCCAATGGAGTTCCACCCGCTGTGCGAACGCAGTAAATCCTTCCAACAACCGTGGAGGTCGGCTCAGGCCCTTGCACACTCGGGGTGGAAGACCTCAAGTGAAAGTCGGATGCTCTGACCGGGGCGAGAAAGAACTGCAACACTCGAGGTCTTCCGAACAAGACCTGATGCACCGTTCAATTGAAGACGATCCATCCGCAAAACGAGAGCTGATGCACAATTCAATTGAACAGACAATCCACCATCCGCAAAACGAGATGAATAGTGGAGAATTGCGTGACTTATCTCAGTTGTTGCAGTCTTTGGCAGTCCACGGTGAGAGGATTTGCAAAATGCGCGAGCCAACACGGGAGGTGAACCAAAAGGATGAGGAGGGGATGTTCATGAAGCTCTAAGCTGAGTCTCGGCGGATGTGGAAAGCTTCAAAAGACCTATACCCCGCAACCCTGATGAAAGCTTGGAACCTGGGCTGAGATTCTGTTCACCTTAGGTTTCAAAGTGGTTTCATTTATATATTTATGTGACTGGTTTGTAGTGGAAAAAACATGAATCAGCATTGGATGTGATTCTTCATAGTCTCATCTGAACATGATGTCAAAGTGGAAAGTCTGAGGTGCATAGTGCATACAAACATAGTGATATATATATATAATATATATACTGTACTGTATGTTGTATTACTATTTTATGTGCAATGAACATTGAGGTTATTGACCTTGGAAAGCTACAGGAAAATCCGTGCTTGAATCAACCTCTATATAGAAGTGTGCATGGTTCAGGAAGGCAAAGACCTGTTCATGATGCTTAATGGATTGCCTCGGTTTTATCTAAAAATGCCTTTCTCACCTTAGTTTTGCATACGATAACCCCACCAATTGACAAGGCAAATCGCAAAGCCACCCAATGTTTGCTAGGAGATCGCGAACCAGCAAAGCCCTCACAGTAGACACCCTCAACAGCAAAATCCACAACCGCTCATGGCACCTCCTCTCATCGTCAGCTGAAAGACAGTTGAGGAAGTGACACCCAAACCCACTTCTTGTGGGGTAGGTCTCAGACTACAGTAAACACACCAGTACACCCCCCAAAGAGCGCAGGGAGCACTTGTGGGGCCGGGTGCCAAGGAGCCCATTCGTGGGGCTCGAGGTCCGTCAAGCTGCTGAGGGGTACTCGATCGAAACCCACCATCTCGGGTGGCCAAAAGCGCTCGCGGAAGTGTAAGGCCACCTTGTTCAGCAAGCCCACGCCTAAGGAATCGGATGTCGAAGAAATGTTCATTCCTGGACTTGCTGGAGACAGGGGATTAGGGGTTTCAGGAAGCTTTTAGGGGATCAGGATAGAAACTGTTCAAAGGAGACCTGATTGATTGAAACGTCTTGAAACTTCGAGAGACCAGACTTGAATCTCACTACGTTCTTGTTACAACGTGTCTCTTGTGTCTCTCTTTGATTAAAAAAGCTACATCATGCTACATCATGCTACATCTAAATGGTTTTGTAAATAGGGAGAACCTATGGCCTCCCAAGGGGGTTGGCTCTTGGTCGTTCGTGTCCTTCTTCTTGAGCTCTACACGGCGACGATGGCTCAAGCCAACCCAAGAACCCTCCAGGTGTGAGACGCAGACCGCGAACGAGCACCATTGGACCGCTGATCTCCTCAGTTTCTCCGGAAAAAAAAGAAAAAGACGGAACATCGAGTGAAACCTCTTTTCACCGGTTCATTGTTCGTTTGAAGAAGAGAAGGTTCTGGTCGGTGATCCCCGCCATCGCCGCCCAGAACGGTGTTCTTCACCAGTTCACACCGTCAAACACCATGCTGGCAGAGAGCCGACCGCTTGCACCGATGCCTGCGACGTGGAGAACGGAGAACGCGGTGCGAACTCGTGGCGCGAGGCTGGAGGATCTGGTCTCCCCAACGAGGCACTGAAGATGTCACTAAGACTACCAGGTATATCCATGTATATCCCAATAACTTCCTTACAAAAGGGTCGTTCCTGACGGAACGACTGGGAGCGGTGCTGAAGAACTCGTGCTATACGTTGGAGTCGTGCTCCCATTTCCATATCCGTGGATGATGATGGGGCCTGGTTGCAGGCCGACATCCATCTCTATGTTAGAGTGATCTTCTTGTTCACCGGCGGCTTTTTAGGACCCCATGTTTTGTCGGACGTCGTGTTGATCCCAGGGAAATGGCGAAGACCTCCTGGCTTCTTTGCAGTCCCTGCGCACGTGCGGACTCGTGGCACCCGCGCGGCATCCGGCCTCTTTCTGCGCAGAGAACGGAGGGACGAACTCCACCTTCCCCGTCTTCAGGACTCCCAAGGGCAGCGTCACAATCACCAGATCGGCTATCTCCACCGTCGCCTAGGCGTTCTGAGTGCGTCAGTCTCGGAGTCTTGGACACCCGCCATGATGGCACTCGAACCAAACAGGATGGGCTGCCCTTCTGGCCAGTCGGAAAACTCCGAAGCAAGATGGGATGGCTGCTGAATGGCCGCCCTGCCTGGGTGTGAACCACCGATGTCACCATATGTTCGGTTTCGGCTCGTCACCCAGCCATGGCTGGGGTTCCCCCCCCACGGACCCCGTCACGAACCGCCGCCTCTGGGTGGTCTGAAGCACAGTGCACCAGCACACGGGGGTCTTCCTCGTCTTGGATGATCGCGGTGACAGGGCAATTCAGGCGGAGGTCGACCCCTTCAGAGAGCCAATCCTGAGGTGTCCAAGAATCGATTCCGCGAGTTGTCCCAAGCGATTTCTGTCCGAACGAGTCGTCGAGCGACCGTTGGTGTTCATCGGTTGGAAACCACGCGAAAAAAGGGTCTTCATATGTCTTCATGTTGGAATCACACGGATGGCTCAGCGAAACGGCACATGAACAGGTGAAGGGAGAACTCCCTAGCCACGAAGTGGGAGAAACTGTAGAACATCAAGGGCATCGTCGGTGCCCTTTGGCTGACATGCGGCCCAAGTGGTCCCACACATTTCAACGGAGGTTGGCTGGCTTGCTTCTTTCTGAAGAAGATCAAGAGTGCTGTGGTTGCTTTGCTCGAAGGCCTGTGAGCGTTGCTCGCGGGGGACAGAAGGTACCAGGAAGACGATTCAACCAGACCGTGTGACACATCTTGTCGCCGAAGACTAGCCTCTGGGATCTTCTTGCACTTTTTGGGCCTGCCAAAAGCTTCATGGGAGGACCCCCTGAACTTGTTGGTCAGCTGGTCACTGGTCAGCTGGAAGCAACACCCATCATTCTCGCTCAGACTCGATGAAGCCCTGGAAGCCTTTCTCCGGCCACATGCCTCATCTGTGATCCAGTCGACCCCCCGAGGAGCAACGAATTTGGACCCCAGAGCGATGCGTCCTAGCCTGAATCGAGTTCAGTCGAGGCTTAGATGACTTCACTGAATGGGATCTGGAATCTGGTATGGAGAGAGCTTGCAGATCTATTATATGGTGTAAACGTGTTATCCAGGACTTCGCGGACCTCGATCTACTCACCCTGCAACTTGTTTTCGTCCCAACGGAGGAATGTATCCAATCGCTTTGAGGGTCCATGTTGGTTCATACAGGGACGTATCCATTGAACCCTTTTGATTTGGGATGCTCCTCTGCCAGTGGATCAAATGATCGATGAACCAAGGCTGTTGGGCCAGAGTTGGGAAAGACTCGCGAGAGGTCTGGACCGCTCGCTGATGGATCCACTGCAGATGTGTAAATACTTCCATTAACAGAGATAAAAACCATCCCCGGGATGTGCATCTTCCAAAAGACCGGATCATTCCACCTGACTGGTGAATCGTTGATGAGGATGCCAAGCCGGCGGCGTCACCGACCGGGTGCTGCGACCGCGGACCGCGGACCGCTCCAAGACAACCGCACAAGTGTAACACGCTGACCACTAACAAGCCGCCGGGAAGCTCCATGAGCGGGTGTGACAGCGTGTCGTACATCACCACTGAATCATGAAGAAAGGATCTCCAAACACGATGTGGATTGCGAGAACCCAATTGATTGGGCCGTGTGAGGGGTATTGGTCCACTGCATCCTACAGCCATGTAGAAGAGAACGTTGAGTTTTTTCCAGACCAACCTGGCAGAGGTGTTGGTCACCGGGAGGTGTCTTTTTCAATGCAAAAGCATTGTGCTTTGTTCAGTTTGTATCTCTCTCCGGGATTTTTTCTGGCCGTTGGCCAGTTCCTCTCAGCCCATATCAATCTTAGACTCAGACTATCACACACCAACACCCAACCGTATCAAAAGCAAGCAAGCATCCCATATCCAGTCGCAATAGAGTGTGAGTGGTGAACAAAAAGAGGATCCAGGTGTTGGGTTGTTCAGAAGGGAATTTACACTCCCATGTTGACCCCCAGTCCACTAATGTATATAAACATATCAATTGAGGCCCAACGACGGCACTCTGAACAAAGTGCCTTCAACCCACACTGCGAACGAAGGAAAGCCGCGAGAACTCGTCCTATTTTCCTTCCGTGCAACATGGGTAGTTGGAAGGTTGGTTATCGATGCCGCTACCAGATCAAGTAGCTCTGATCTTAAGATGTAAATTCAGATCCAAATCAAAAATGAAATCCAGACCCCACGCCGCTCACAAATCAGGGAACAATGCTTTCACCGTCTTCCAGCCCAACCGAACTCCCACCTCCATCTTATCACGGGATGGGGGGGCGGCAGGGTGTTGAGACCCTGTCGATGTAAGCATAAGTCCTAATCCTTAGAGCGAGCTGCCAGAAAACACCCGTGAGCTCGCACATGTCCTCTTTGGACGAGTAGCCCTTTACGAGCGCTCCCTGAACAGGCTCAGAATCAACAAAAATGAGGATCCACGAACTTGAAATCAGGTATTCAAAATGTTGGAGAGCTACTATCACAGCGAACATTTCGACCATGGCGATTTGTGACTTACGGGGCAGCCACTTCCTGATGAGCTGCTCCGGCACTTGCGCTCCGAACTGCAAAGGCCGTGAACTCTTACTGAAAAGAACACCACCGATCCACGGGCGCTCTAAGCTGTCTGCCCGATCGTCGGGGAAACTGCCATCAGTAAAAATTACGAAATCAGCCTTCTTGCTGGATATCAACTCAATAGGCCGAGCCGGGCCCGCCTCCAACAAATGGAGCCACTCTTTGAGAGCGAGCTTAATGGCCTTGTTCAAACCAAGAGCAGGCACTCGAGCGTACTGCCTTTCGGACAGGGCCCTAAGAAAAGCACGACCAACTTTTCCCCATAGCTGTGAGGATCCAAACATGAGTTTGCCTCTTAGCTTCCCGGCTTGGCCGGGTGAGAGAATTCCTGCCTTAAATATGCTGTCAATTTCATCGACAAGCTCTGCTTTGCGACTGTCTTTAATGAGCAGCCGCATATGTTTTAGATCGTAAGTCACTCCTAGAATGGTGGGAGCTTCAGTCTTCTGAAGTTTCTTTTGGTCGAACTTAGCTCCGGACGGCTCGAACCCGTACTTGTCATCATAAAAATTAAAAGCAGCAACGCAGAACACTCTCCTAAGGATGTCCGTGATCAGTGCAGACCTACGATTGTAGTTATACACTGCGGACACTAACCCGAAGGAATGACCGATAACAAAATAAGCAACCCTGCCGGAGCTCGGCTCTTTGAGAGCGACCACACTCCACTTTCTGTGAGCTGGGTTGATGGGAACCTGTCTATCGACCTTTCGCTCATCTAGAACCCATCCCGCCAAGGATCTCTGGTGAACGTTCGAACGCAGCCATCGAATAGCCGCCACGTTCACGTCAGTTGACGGCAGATCCAGCTTCCCTGTGATCTTTGTGGCCACATTGATCCCGTTGACGGTTGCGCTATCCACGCCACGGACCTTGTTCTTCTGCACAACCTCAAACCGTTGGGTGGGGATCCAGGGCGAGCCTACGATCTGGTCGACCTCTACTTTGGTGAAAAACGGCCCGATCGTGACCCCTTCTTCAACATCTTCCATGGTCGCCTCCCACACTTTCTGTGTGTTCTCGGTGACCTCACATTTTTTTGATGTTTTGGACCACCTTAGCAGAAAAGTCCCAGGCCCGCTTCTCTAACTCGGAGAGAGTGATGCAGATCTGTTCCTTCTCGAAGGGATCCCACGGATGAGAGGGGGAGATAGGACCTACAATGGGTAGGCCGGTGACCAGCTGATCCACGAGCCCGGCATCGACAGACTTCGCTGCCGCGGCCAACTCATGCCATAGTGCAATGTGTGTGCACGATCCCAGGATGATTGGTCGGTGATCAGGTTGCCCTCGGAGAAGTCGTCTGAGCCATGGGTCACTGACATTGGTGAGGATCTGGTCAGTGACCGGCAGCAGGGCGTGAGCACGTTAATGTGCAAGGGCTTGGCACCGATGGGTGACCAACCAATCTGGTCTGAGCGCTGCCAGTGCCAGTGCTTCTTGTAGATCCGGCTCAAGCGCAGGTGTGACCGAAAAAGGATGGATGAGATCCAGCGCCACCTAGACTGCCATGCCCGGCTCGTATTCCACCGGTAACAGCGGGGGGGAGGACCGACTTCTTCAGCTGGTAGCCTGCAGCGATCGCCTTCTGGCCAGTGGCTTCTTGTCGATGCCCGGACCAGGGAACAGGTTGCCCGAGAGGGCGCTTCCGTTCACCGGCAGGCGTAGTCATCGTAAAGGTCAGCAAACTGGCCCACTGTTGACATAAGTCCAGTGGGTACACCTGAGCTCTCTTCGTCTTAAATTGCTTCTTGCCGCGCACGATCTCCGTGCCCACCAGCGCAACGTGGTCGTGTGGCCGCACATCGCGATCGCAGCGCTGAGCCAGCGCCTGTAGTGGAGCTGAAGTCAAGATAGCAGTTGGCTTCATGTGTGGGGAACCGAACTGGCACATGTCAAACTCAATGCGAGCACCCAAAGCAGCGAGACCCCGCATAGGAGGCATGAGCCAGAGGTAAGATCCGAGTGGGTTTTCGACCGACCAAAGAATGCCACGATGGTGACACGCTGTTAGGACGTCCACAGTGATCTGCATGAGCCGGTTGCCGATCTTGACTTTGTCTTGATCCCAAGGAGCTAGCCGCGGCAGTCCCCAGAGCTCCTGCCTGGAGCGTAGTGGAGGAGGTCCTCCGTCACCCTTTCGAGCCAAGCTGAACGAGGAGCAAGGAGTGCCGCAGTGAACATAGGCGAGGAACCCCTCCTGAATGAGCATCATCAAGTGGTCAAGAACTCTTGGATCTGTGACATCTATAGAAAAAGGAATGAACTGGTTGACTTCCAGCTCGATAGGTGGAAGACATGGAAAATTGGCCGACTGCATAGCCCGAGTGAGCACAGCTTCTCCAGCAAAGATCTCCAGAAAATATTGCCCCGGTGGAGGGCGGGGCATCGAGCCCCAAAAAGCGCCAGAACAAGTCAGGTCAGCCGCACTGGCTGAGCCTTCATGCGTCCCATTGCCGCTCGGAGCAGGCGCAGCCGGAGAGCTGCTTCAGTGGTGGCCCACCATGGAGTGTGCCGAGCCACATTCCATGCAGGCATGCTTGAACCTGCACTTGTCGCCTAAGGAACAGCCCATCGAAGAGTTGAAGTAGTGGCAGCGCTTCGCACCCTTGACATTCTGCGCGGCCTTGTTGATGAGCTTCCATTCGGATTCTGGGATGCGCTTGTCACGATCGGCAGCGCTGCTAGGCTTGTCTGTCTTGACCGTCTTGGTGTTCTGGTTGGATTTGGCCCGAGCAAGCTCGTCACGGAGGCGCGCAAGCTTCCGCTTGCGCTTGGCTGCCTTTGGAGAAGAAGGCTTAGCCACATTGTCCTCTGTGACACGATCGGATGGTGCGGAGTCCGCTTCTTTGCGATGATCTACTCGCGACAGCAAAGCCTTTGTGCGAGCATCATTCCAAAGGTACTTGTGGTTGGTGAGCACTTCCTTCAAGGCAGCTTCGTAGGAGCTGAACTTCTCCCTCTGTTCCGCCTGGAGGCGGAAAGCCTTCTTGCGGATCAGTGTGTCTGCCATCATGACGAACGGCAAGCTAGGGCATTCGATCCTGAACTGCTCGAGCTGCTGTAGGTAGTCGAGCGGTCATGCCGCCCGTGAGTACGAGCAGATATTGAGATAGTCAAGAGCCATGAAAAATGCATGAATCCGATTCATCAGAACGAGCTCGATCTTGAGCCAAAATGGCACGAGCGTGCCACTGGCTCAGTCCTGAAAAACTCGATACACTGAACAGTGTGATGTTGACCGGTCCTCTGAAATTGACCTGCGTATCCCTAACCAACCAAACCGTCGATAAGCCGACATATATATATATAGCCCACGGTACTTTTGACCATCCAAAGTCAATCATCCTCCCACTAAACGCGGGTTCTAAGCTTCGTTCCCCTACATTCAGTTCTTCTTCACTCCGCAAGTGAGTCTCCTCCCCACTGTCACAGCACAGTCTCCTCGCCTTCCATTCAGGGCACAGTCTGGACCGTCGAACTCTTGGTCATCGTCCCACCAGCGAGAGCTTAAAGCTTCCAAGGAGGCCGCATAAACCCATTCCTCAAAAAAACGGGCGTGGCCGCAGGGTCTCAATGAACGCCCGTGGTGCGTGCCATCTACGTGATTGTCTTCCCATCTTTGACGTGTATCAGATTGATGCGTACCATCAGTGCTAGCAGTGGCAAGTTAAAAGCAAAAAGACCATCCCAGTGTTCCAAGTGCCTCGCGATGAGGGAACAAGTAATTCCTGGAATGAGTTGGCCAAGCTGTCCTGTGATTCATGGGGGTGTGGGTAGGATGGCACTTAGGTCCCAGCCTAGATATGCAGACAAATGCATCATTTCATGCCCTGGAGCACCTTAAAAACGCACCAGTGGAGCAGGTCCCTGGCTCCCATGCTGCGCCTATTAAAGAAAAGAATCAAGCCAACTCTTCAAGTGCTTCACTCTGTGCCGAACATCCATGCAATATGCGATCCCGTCACCGTCCTGCAGGTTCCAGGAGTCAGAAGAGCCAGACCCATTATAGCACGTATACATGCCATATTTATATAATACGTAATATGTATATATATATATTATATATATATGTGTGTGTTTCTAGTATTTGTGTTTTATGTATCAACATGATCTAATTACCCTATGTCCCAGCCCACGAATGACCGAACTGCTGGCTGCAGCGGCGGTCTCGCGGGCCCAACGCCAGCGCAGCATCAGCTGCTGTCGCTCCGACAAGCCGGACCAAAGATGTCGCGTGGAGCGGAGCTCACGCAGGGCATCCCACAGTGAGACGTCCTGGCGTACGGCGGAGCGCTGGCGCTCTGCGGTAGAAGCGGAGTACGGCGGACGCTGCAAACAGTTTGGTGGGAGTGAAGTCTCTGTTGGGCGGGAATCGAGAAACGCATCAAAAGCTGGGTGAGGGGGGGGAACCAAAAACGAATACTAAAAAACAAAATCCGTCCTAAAAGAACCGTTTTGTGGTCTAGTCTTGGTGGTTGGTGAGTCATTTGATGTTCATCCACCTTTCTCAACGCCTCAATTATCCTTGCTACTGATCATGGTGCAGAGTTCTGATGCAAAAATGAAGTAAATGGAGAGGAAGTGGAAAAACAAGCAGAGATGACTGTGACCCTGCAATCCAGTCAATCTTCGCCCAGAGATGACTGTGAGCCAGCGAAGTTCGTTGGGATGAACTAACCGACACCCGCCAAACACTCCAGCTGTTCGGCGGTTCGGCGACTTTACCAGGCCGTCGGAAGATGCAACCCGTCGTTTCAGAACCCCCCCCCCCACCCCAACACAAAAAATATCCACTCTTCTTTTCCGGCTTTTGGTGTTCTTTGGGCTTTGCCCAGGTCATGCCAGACAGAAGATGAAGTCGAAAGAGACTGATAGAAAGTCAGTGCTACAAACCAGCGTCACTCTTGCTCCATGATGGCTTCATGAAAGGTTTTCGAGAGCCTGAGTTGTAGCCCTGTTTGCCACGCTCATCCATTCCCAAGAAGCCTTGCACGTTGATTCTCGAAGTCTGTTTTAATTTGTTTTCTGCTTTACCTGTTGAAGTTCGGAAGGTAGAGCCACAAGAAATGCTACAAATCTTGTGTCCAGCCTCACAAAGTGCACCATTGCAACCTAACAAGAGTAGAAACGCAGGTTGGTAAAAGGTGGGGCACCCAAAAAGACCAAGGCACTGTTTGCAGCCATGGGCAGATTTTGTTTTTGCCAAGCAAACATCCAATGCCTTACAACCCCTCAAACATCAAGCTGGCTAGTACCCCTATGCAGTCCAGGCTGACAATCCTCAACATTCACGCCTAGCACATAAGGGTCCGGCTTCCTGAAAGGGCGGCCCGCGCGCTGGACCGCGCCCAAGACTCTGCCATGCGGGCGGTCCGGCCCAGAATTGTTAAAGTGTGTGCGGGTGGGAAAAACCCACATAAGGGTTGCTGCACCCCATCGTGAGGATTGCTGCACCCTGCGTGGGAAGGAATCGAATGGCAATTGCATCCACAGGTTTGAATGGCAAGGAACCAAACAAAAACGAAAAGCTGGAAAAAAGGGATCACCACTCACACAACCTTAAACCATTCTTATGTGTGCTAGACCATTCTGATGCAAAGAAATCACCCACACACAACGTTAGAAGTTAACGCATCAGATTCGCGCGACCGTAGCATCGGTCGAGTCCCAGCAGCAACCGGTTGCCATACCCATCCTGCAGCTCCCAGCTGTAGGTGGGTTCCCACACCCTTAAGATGAGGGTCTCCTCGTGCAGTTTCTGAGGGGAAGAAGTCTGAGTTTCTCAGGTGGAACACCTCGAGATTTGAGGTGTTACAGATGTGAGCTCTCTGCTTTTAGTGCAAAGGATCATCCGTTTGAGTTTGGTGGAAGATCAGACTGTTTGCGTGACTGCTTGGCGTCGAATGCCTGTGGGTGAACAGGAGAGTGCTTTGCATATGAATGTCCACCTGCGTGTGGTCATGTGTCAATCAGGCTTCATGTGGGTGAACGGCAACGCATTGCTGAAGGCGACTCTTATCTTCCGAGACTTTCGCAGAAGATGAGTGGCTTCTCATGGAAGGCAAATGCAAGAAAACAGAGATTGGTGCTTCGATGGGTGT